GTTTAACTTGGTTTGGTTTTGAAAAAAAAAGCCCGACTATATTTGGGTTGGTTTGGTTTTAACTAAAAAAAACCAATCCGAGACCAAACCAACCCGACATTATATATATAATTTTAAAATTTTATTTTATACATAAAAATATTTACTTTGATATAATTTTAAAATATTTCTTATACTTTTTCATAGTTTTTATCTTTTAATATATTATTTCAAGTTTGAAACTTAGAATTATGAATGGACCAATAAAAATTATAGTCCACAAATGTTGATAATTATAATAAAGCTTAAATCAAAATCAAATTAATACTAATGCAAAAAGAAAATCAATTCAACACTAAGAATGACAATAATATTGAATATTTGTTCTTTCATTTTACATTGGTTTAGACAATTAAAATACATAATCTAATTTTAATTTCCTTTAATATTTAGTCATGTAACTAATACTTATTAAACTTAGTTTTAGCATGATTTAGTACTTTTAAATTATGATCATTTTCATTATGACTTGTTAATTTGCAATATTTGTTTTACGCGATTTCATTATTATTATTTTTGTTGGATAATTTAGTGTCATTAATCATATCATATTGTGTTATATTTTTAAGAAACATCTTAGATAGTTGTATTTTGGTAGAACTAAAGAAATATTTGAAGTATAAGTAAATTATATGTTTGTATGAATACTTTATCGGAAAAATCCGAAATAACCCGAAAAACCCGAAAAAACCCGAGGTTGAAAAACCCCAGTTTTATTGGTTTGGTTTGGTTTATAAATTTAAAAATCCGACACAAATGGTTTGGTTTGATATTTGAAAAACCCGAACCAACCCGGCCATGTACACCCCTAATAACGAGTAGAGTTTTGCTTCAAAAGTGCGATCATTTGTTTATCCTTTTAATAGTTAAAAGGCAATGCGCTATTATGAAAATGTGGATTCAAGATATAAATTTGACCGATTCGATCTTTAGATTTTTCTCATTAAATCCTTAATTTTTTTAAAATTATATTAATTAAAACGCTGAAAATGATATCAATAACCAATTAGAAAGGTGTTATTGAATTACTCAATTAATATTTTTTTTTAAAAAAACAAACAAACAAACAAGATATGTGGAGTATAATATTAAATTTCTAATCTCACTTAGAAAGGCCATGTATCCAATCATCATCGCATTGAGTGATATTGACCATGGATTTATACATCTATGTTTTTTTTATAAAAAAAAATATAACATTACTATATATAATCTAAGAAGGAAGCACATGAACCCGAGAAATCCTAGATACAGTTAAAGGGTCCTTTAATTTATTTGGATAACTATTCGTATTTCTAGTTGAATAGTGTTTCGTGGTTCTTCCTGTTCCTGATTATTGCAAATTCCGTGAAGACATTAATCCTGAAAATATGATTATGATTTAACGCATCAATTTATACATACTTTAATTATAACTTGCTTGGTGCGTCCATTACTCATTTAATTATTTGAAATTAATTAGCAGTCATCTTTCTCTAATTTGTAACAGTAAAATTAGGGGTGTTCACGATTTGGATAAAAACCGATCCAAACCGAAAAACTAAATTAAATTGATAAAATAAAACCGATTTTATTTGGGTTTAGTTTTAGATTTTTTAAAATCGGTAGTATTTGATTTGATTATGATTTTATTCGAAAAAATTGAAGAAATAACTGAACCGAACCGATGAATTATATACATATATTTTATTAATATACATACTTAATATATTGTTTTTATAAACAATTTTAAAGATCTTATATATGTTTTCAATAAAATTTCTTTATACTTTACTTATTGAAAGCAAGAATGCCCAAGCCGAAAACATTTATCTTATTGATTTCATGTAATATGAGTGTCTATGACAATTCTTTGTGGGACTGAAAATGTTATTGTCTCTTCCTTCTTGGTCAATATAATGAATTTTAAAGTTTTATTGATAGTAAATTCAGTGATTGAAAGTTCGGTAATTTAAGTCATTCTAACTATTTTTTATTTTGAATGGATTGTTGTCACTTTTTTCACATTTTGAATGAATTGTTTCTTTTAGTTATGTGTATGGTTAATAACCGAACCAAACCAAACCGAAACCGATAACCACCAAACCGGTAAATGTATATTATATTTAGTTTGGTTTGGTTTTGATAATTTTAAAACCGATTAAGTTGGTTTGGTTTTGATTTTGACCAATAACCAATCCAAACCAACCCGTGAACACCCCTAAGTAAAATCACTTAATTATATCTATGACACTTCTTTCTTTTTCTTTTTATAAATATATTTACGATTAAGAAATTAAAGTGTGTGACTCAAACCCCAGCCTACCGATTGAGATTCGAGATGCTCAATCACTCAACCAAACCTCAAATAATTATGTGTCTATATCAAAGAAACTTTTCTTTTATTTTTTGCATCGATCGACATGCAATTTCGATCAGTTGAAGAAAAAGGTATGATCATCATATGGCTTGTTTGGTTGTAAGTCTGCTTCTTTAATATTCTCTGTGTACGTACATGGCTGCAGCCTTAATTTCCAATATATGTGCCTTTTTCAGAAACGAATAACAAGAAAATATTCCTAACTTGCCAAACTCAGTTCTTGTACATTACTTTTCTTCAAATTATGGAACTAATAATATGTAAAGTAAAGAAGAGTTTACTCTCACTTGAGCTATAACGGTTTCTAATTAATGGTGAATTACTCCTCCCGTTTTCATTTTACTTAGCCCCTATACAAAAATAAATGTCTAATTTTTATCCATCTTAGCAAATCGAGAGAATTTTATAGTACTTTTTTTCATATTATTATCCTTAATACTTATTAAATAACTATATAGAGTAACGGTAACCAAATTTAGAGTTTTAAAATATTATGATAGATCATATTTAGTAAAATACACCTCTAATTAAAAAGTTAACGAATATGTCAAATAATATGATACGGAAGAAATGGCAAACTGGAGCGTAATATGAGTTTAATTTATTTGAAACTAACGCGTATTACGTAATGTGAGTATACGTTGTACTTTTTTTTAGAAGACAGGCTGAGAACATCTCTGACATGTCTCTCCTATCTTTCTTTTTTTTTGGTCAGTGTGAAAAGGATTAAAGCAAGTAAATCTTATGAGATCACATGATTAATTAATCTCAGAATCTTGTAACTCTTTCTTGAGGATAATGAGAGTAGGGACCATACTATAAAAGGTTACATATTAAAATAACACACAGCAAAAACCATCAGGATGGTTCAGACTTCAGATTAAAGCTCCCGCTATATGTAGGTTCTGGAGAAGAGTCGGATCACAATGATCTATATACATAGTCTTACCTTGTATTTTTGCAAGAGGTTATTTTTCACATCTTGAATTTATAACCTCATAATCACACGACAACAACTTTACAAGTTACGTCAAGACTTCCTTTATTAATATCAATACTAATTATGGGGAATATAATCCGCTTCTACTATGAGAACTCAAAGCTAGTCTTTTTTAAAGTTTCATTTCACATTTTATCATTTCCTTGCAACTGCAACATCATCTCAACTTTGTATAATTAATATCAAAACCTTAGTCTACCTTTTCAGCCCATGTACACATAGGAGTCGTTTGGTTGACGGATATGGATAATAATTCTAAGATAAAATGTGAAATTATATTATATAATATATTCCACCGTTACTACTTGCATGATTATTTGTAAGTTACTTCAACAAACTACTTGTAAGCTGCTTGCAAAGGCTTTATAAGCTACGTGAGGAAATTAGTTGCAGGGCAGTTGTTTGTAAGTTTCTTCAAGAAGACGTGTTTCCACTTTGGTCATTACACTAAAATGTGAATAATGTATCTACTGTATTGTATGTATTGTTTAAATAAATATAATGTTTGGATATATTGTATCGTTTTCTGTCATAATATAACGTTATATATTCATAAGTTAGATGATAAACCTATCACAAATTGTAAGGTACAAGGTAGAGCTACTATGAAAAGATAGGGTAAATAATAAAATAAGCAAAGACAAAGGAGAAGAATATATTAAGGTAACAATGCGATCACATCTTTGTTATTACTTAGCGATAAATTTAAATAATATAATACAATAAAATTCAAATAACAATTAAAACAAACATTATATTTAAACTAATATTATTATACAATATAATACAATACAATACCACGGTTAACAACTATCTAAACAAGGTGTAAGGTCATAAGGAGCACTTCTTTCCGAAGACTGGGCCATAGGATGAAAAAATGAGAGTCCCCATTAAATCAACCAAAAAGTGGTTTTGTCCGACTCATGATGATGTGGATGGTAAGACTCTTGACCAAAGTATATGGATGAATACTTTATAGGTTAATTCAGATTTAAGCTTTACCGGTTTAATATTGAATTCATTATACTTTTTAAATTATATATAGGTTCATATATACCTGCTAATTATCGTAACTTTAGTATACTTTCACTTTTTTACGCATAAATTGATGTTCCGATTAATTTGAATTCACACTAAATATTATTTCCTCTATTTTATTTTATATGATATATTTTCTCTTCATTCCATCTCAAAAAGAATGTTATTTTACTATAATTGGAAACAATTTAATTTTTAAATTCTTTTTTTACCCTTAATGAAATGATTTATAATTACATAAATATTCAAGAACACAATTTTTTTTTAAAAAAAATTGTTTAAATCATGCCAAGTTAAATGGTACCACATAAAATGAGACAGAAATAGTAAACTTGACTTTAGTATGAATCAAGACAAACAAACTGAAACACGGAGTACCTGGTTTTAGTGTGAATATGGTTCTGATTTTGGTGGGGTAAGCCTAGACAAGCTACATATCTTTCGGTTTTCATATTAATATTTTTGCAACTTTTTGTTTCTCCATAGCCTATAAAAGCTCATTGATGCTGCTCCCTTTTTACTCTACAAAAACTTCTCATCCCTCTTTAGCTGGCCTCTGTTTTTAGACTGTGATCACTCAAATTTAGCAACTTCTGAACTATTTAGGATTGGTATTACTAGAAAAAAAAACCTTTTTTTATGTTTTGACAAACCATATAGTGACATTTTTTGCCTTGTAGGATTGAAAGGCAGTTTTGAACCCTTTTTTTTTTCCTGGAAGATGATTGAATTGTCCCAGGGATATTACATCTTATGTAAACTTACAAAATTCAGTGTAGCCAAAAGTTTTTATTTTTGGATATTTCAAATTTTCAATAGGTACATTTGAACACTTAGCTAAATTTCATATTGTAATTTGTGTGTAGTTAGCACTTGGAAATATTTACTTATATGGCAGGAATATCATTACCTCCCGGATTTCGTTTCCATCCAACTGATCAGGAATTGGTTGGATATTACCTGAAAAGGAAAACTGATGAACTTGAAATTGAGTTGGAAGTTATTCCAGTAATAAACTTGTACAAATTTGACCCATGGGACCTTCCAGGTATACATTCTTGATCACCCCTTTTTCTCTTGAAAAAACTTATCTAAGCATTGACAAATAACCTCACATAGATTGCATTAGGTAGACTGTCTACATTCACATACTAGGGGTGCGGTGCTTCCCCATATCCTGTGTAAAACTGAGATGCTTTGTGCATCGGGCTGCCCTTTTCATGGTGGACATGTCATTGTCTTCATGTTGTTGGAGCAAAAAGCTAAGAAATTGTGCTTTTGTTGTTTTCATGACAATTTGAACTGAAAATGAGTTGTTGCTTTATAGCTTATCTATTCTTTTTGTCTTGTCACAAGATGGAGTGCTCTGTGGGGCATCTCTATTTTCACACACATGCCCTACCCACATATCAAAAAGAAAAAGACAAACATGTCTAAAAGCATCTGGTTTCGGCTGATTCATACTTCTTGCTTATTCTGAACTTGGTATTTTGGGATATTGATAATAATCATGTCTTTGAGATGCAGAGAAATCTTTCTTGCCGAAACGTGATATGGAGTGGTACTTCTTCTGCTCTCGGGACAAGAAGTACCCGAATGGCTCGCGAACAAATCGAGCCACTAATTCTGGATACTGGAAAGCCACAGGGAAAGACAAGAAAGTTGTATGTAAGCCTGCAGTTGTAGGATACAGGAAGACACTAGTTTTTTACCGCGGAAGAGCTCCTCTTGGGGATAGAACTGATTGGGTAATGCATGAATATCGTCTCTGTGATGATGTTTCACAAGGCACTCATAGTTTCCAGGTAGTTGACAAATCTCAACATGAAGTTTTACAAACAAAAAATATCATGACCATAATATAAGTACTAATTTAAATTTCTTCAGGGTCCTTTTGCTCTTTGTCGTGTCATCAAGAGAAAGGACAACATTTCATCGAAGACGAGTGATGTTCATGGAGCTACAGTCTTTAAACAGCCTGAATGCAGTTCAAGTATCGAAGGTTTTACCTCAACGGTAGCCTTAAATGAACCCCTTGTCCTTTCTGATGACATGCCAACTCCAGCTACATACGTGTCCGGTAACAGCAACTATTCAACTCCTATTAATTCTCCCTATAAGACAACACAAGTAGAGGACTATGACTCTGCAAACCTCTGGATGTCTCAGAATAGGGTTCTTGATCCTTCAAAGGTATTGATGTTGTTCCTTTTTCTATGCATTGGTTCATTTTTTTCTGTGAACTTCATACTAATATTTTGGTGGCTGGATATAGGAATGCCCTCAAGGAAGAAGTATATCTGGAAACTATCCCCATGTGTTCTCAAACTCAACTTCATGGCAGCCAAGTGATCAATATGACTTCACATCAAGTTCATCTTTCCTGAATTTTAGAGGGGAAGTTGAACTTTCTGGTGATCTCAGTGGCTATGGCAATGTATCTCCCTTCTCAGTCCATGGAAGCTACATGGAGTTCTATGGCAATGAGGATATTTCATTTAAAGGTTATAACCAGAACGACTTATTGGGCAATCCAAATCTCTTCTGATGAACATTCGGGAACAGGATTTTGGGAAATTTTAATGGTGTATGGTCACATGAAGATAATATAAGTAGTCTGATGTAAAAATCTACTAAGAATAGGTAAATGCAACTAAATGTGCTACTGAAATAATCTAAAGTTGTTCTCTGAGACAACAGCTTTTTAATGTCTGTCTTAGAGTCATTCGATCTTATTACATCATCTTCGAGTTAGTTTCATAAGTTTAAATCTAGCTGGTGTTTTGTCATTGAAGTATGAGATACCAAGTGGTGATTGTTTTTCAATGATCTCACAGGAAAATGGTAAAGTTAGTAGCTGAATCTCTTAGATAGAATTAAGCCTCCATTACCTTCCTGATATGTATCAATGTTCTCATTCTGATCAATTCCATGTATGAATTTGTTATCAAGAAACAAAATTTAGGTGTGTTATTGACCATCAACTCTTATATATTTATATAAACATGTTACGGAAGTACTGATGTTCATCAGCAGAACTTCCTTTCTAGCATCTATTGATTCATCCCTTAAGCAACTATTGGTTGCATTATTCAAAGCTATTGAACTGTTTAAGCATATGTGACCAAGATTTAAGGGAAAAAACATTGTTTGAAGCTCTAAAAGGGTGAGTTGCCTGCTTATAACTGGATAACTAGCTAACCAAATGCACCTTGAGATTCATATGCCCAACTTGCTAAATTGTAGTTTGATAATGGCCTTGATAGCATCACTTGTACTCATAGGTATATGGATGAGATGCAAATTTAGACAAAATATGTATAGTCACTAATTTGGACTTTGTTTTGACTTCAACTGAGAAATTACTAGTGAGAAGCCCCAGGTACCAGGCAAACTGCTTCCATTCTTGGCTAAATTATTTTGCCAACATTCATCAGCTGATTTATTACAGGCAGAGTTTAGACTCAAGTGATCTCCTAAAAGATACACTTCCTCAACTTATTTGCATTATAAAGACTATATCTTGATACGATTGTGACAGTACCAACTTCCAAGTAATCATGATCAAGAATCTATAGCAAATGACATAGATGATATTGCTTTAGGGAACACAAAAGTAACTCACAAGCAAAGGATACAAGAAAGCAAGTTAGTAAAACGTTTGTTGAACTTTGTATCATTTTCTTAGGCACAACAAAATAAAATCTAGCAAGACGGCAAATGCAAACGAAGAGGTAATGAGCAGTTGCCCACATATTGGGAAATTGAAGGTCTATTTCCACACCAGATGTGTCAGTAACACCTTCAGGGGTGTTGATGAAACCCATTTTTCATAAGGCACCCCTTATCTGAAACCCACTGGCCTGACTAATCACACTGTTCTTTGACTAATAGAGAGGAAGGTAAAAGTTTTCAGTCATATTCAGTACGTGCTCATGACAGTAATTCATATATAATGATATTCTCAAGATTAAACAGTAATTATTTCTTGCCTCGGAAACATCTGATGCTGGAAGGAATCAAGGTAACTTAACTGATGAAGTTGATAAACCAATCAAGAAGAAATACAAAAGCAAGCCACATAAAAGTGAGAATCAATCAATTGCTACTTTATACCTCCTTGAACTCAACTTCAAAAGATGTCCTCCAAACTATTCCTCCTAACATTAACAAAGCTTTAGAAAAGTGTAATCAAAAGATCAGAAGCCATTAACTCAAAAAGAGAAAGAAAGATAGGTACACTAACTGATTAACCATTCGTCTTTCCCGCCCCCTATTAGTTCAGACATAATACCATAGGTAGATAGCTAGAGAGGAATCAACGAAGCGTGTCGCCCCTTTATCATTAAGCAAATAGTCTCTCAATAAATCTAGATCTCCTTTTTGGACTCATCTATGTTTTCTTTAATGTACTCTTCTATGTTTTCTTTAATGTACTCTTTTTGGCCCGTGCTTTAAAATAATGCTCCACTAGTTGGTCCCATTGAAGAATGATGGCAATATAATTATTTACAGTAAATAGTAAACATCTCCATCAGTAGCAAACTGGGAACATAGCAAACCAAAAGAACACATATCTCCAAATTAGCTACTGACTTAGCTGCTAGTTCACAGCAGGGGTGAATATAGACCATTTCTATCTGTATAGAGTCACTCAATTCATTCTTGAGTTGAATAACTTGAGAAATTAAATTTGGGAGAAACACAGAACAGAGAATCTATTGCAGCCATCTCTGTACAAAAAATGTGAAATTTACATTGCTACATCTTATGACCTGGTATATAAAGGTAGCATGGTGCACAAAGCATTCCGCGTTCATGCAGGGATCAGGGAAGGGCTACAGTCAAAGGGTCAGTGGCTGATTCCATCGCTCGAATCTGTGACCTATAGGTCACACAAGGACAACTTTACCATTGCTCCAAGGATTCCCTTCATTTTATGACCTAGTATATTAATTCATATTTTTCTAGTCACTTCCATCACTAAGACTTTTAATTAGTTTTGACATCCATTTTTGCCAAAAAGACCGAAAACTTCATGGAAAACAAGAAGAATCAATATAAGCTAGCAATTTGAGGACTACAAAACACAAGAACTTCATCAATAACAGCCTTAGACTCATCTCCAAACAATGATTCTTTACCATCAGGCCTTTTAGCATAAGAAAGTCCCAATCTTGACTTAGCTTGCCTTAAATCACCAACCCCAGAATTCGTATCAGGTCCAGCAAATCCACCCATGACAGGAGCCAATGGAGGACCAATGAGCAATCCATCAGCACCAAACTGTGGACCTCCTCTAGCATAATCAAATAGAGCAGCACCACTTCCCCCTACTTTAGGCAACATTATTGGTTTTTCAACATCTTCATCCCAATAAAAGAGAAATGCATCAAAAGTGTCGTAATAATCATCTGTGCTTCTGTAGCCTTCTGGATTAAATGCTCCAAACTTAAAGGCCTTTGTTGTGTAACCAATGATCACACATGGTCCTTTGAAATCAGATCTGTTATGGAATTCAGTTGCACTAAATCCATCCACTGATGCCTTATAGCAGCATTTCAGTTCCCTTCCTGCATATCGATCATCACCCAAAATAAAAATTAAAGAACATACATAAGCTCTTGTCAGTGGAAGATCTAACAATAGGATCGCGAATTCAACAGAACTCAATGTTTTGATGTCAAACACTATATATATTAACTTGATGGACTCAACCATTACAATTCTTAATACTGAACTCACTATAATATCTATTTTCCATGCCAACAATACTGAACTTGGATGAACCAGCAGCATTCAGGCAACATCCACCACTATTAATATAAATGTACGAGCACACCAAAATTAAGTATAGATAGTATTAGATACAAGGACAGAGCTAGAGAGAAAGCTACAAGTTCGACATAACTCAATAGCTTTAGTAGAAATCTTGTATTTGCGTTAAGAAATTCACTTAATATGTATAAATAACTTATCCGGAACCCAATAAGGTACTTTTTTTTAGAATTCATAACATATAATAAACTCAAAACATTGGTTCCACCTTTGGTTAGATATATATTTCAAGAATCCACAACGTCTAAATTCTGGATCCGCCTCTGAGTGTTGTTTTTTTTCATTTCTTTATCATGTAAAAGAGAAGGAAAAGAAGTACCTTTCAAGAATGTTTTGGTGAGGAGGGAAGGAGGAAAAGGGAGATCAAGATCATGATATGTAAATTGTGGCTTATCATCAGTCTTGTTATTTTTCCCAAAATTCCAGTTAAATAAGCTTCTTGTACAACATTTATTAAAATAAGGAGTGGATATAGAATTTAGTATTGCTATGGAACAACTCATGGCTGAAGCAGAGTGACCACTCTCCTTCCCTCACTTCTATTTCTCTTCATACATAATCTTATCCTCACACTATACGAAATTTGAAACTTGTGTGCCTCTACCTTTTAACTTATAAATTAATTCATTATATCAGATAATAAAAACATTGTCATTTTAAAAAAAAAAATGAAATCTTTTTATTTTTCTAGTACTTTTATGTTAGTTTTACATCATGATCTTATTTTTAAATAACATACATTTTCCTTCTTAGTCGGCTTAAAAAAGAATGACTCTTTTTCTTTTCTGACAACACTTTAATATAGCGTGACATGTTTAAGGCAAAAGATTAAAGGACATTTTGATACATTTGACATAACTTTAATTTAAAATCACAAGATTAAAAAGTCTTATTATTCAAATTCCGTATGAAGTCAAACTAAGTCATTCTTTTTGAAACGGTGGAGTGTTACTTATTTCCAGTTTCAGTCCAAATATCTTTCAACTTAAGTTTATAATTTTTAGTAGTTAAATCGATAAACAACATCAAGGGGTCCATAGCTCAGTGGTAGAGCATTTGACTGCAGATCAAGAGGTCACCGGTTCGAACCCGGTTGGGCCCTTCTGCCTATCTTTATTATTTTTAGGAAATTATGATTCTCTTCTCTAATGTCTTTTTTTTTTTCTTTTTCCGATCTCTTTGTTGCTATTCAAATTAGGTAGGGAATATCGTATCACCTACTTGAGCATAAGATTAACAACTCATCACATGTAGTCATGTACATAATTTAATTTTGAACATGGTATATAAAATTGTAAGTAAGTAGTATATCATTTATAATGAAAATAATTAAATACGTATAAAATATCCTCATCACTAACTAATGTATATATATCATTTGACTACTGAAAAAACGTAGCCACTAAAGTCTAGAGTACTCAATCTGCTGCTGTATGGGAGGAGGGGAACTCACTTTCCACTCTAGGATTATTATCACAACTTACATTAATAACCACATCATCATGACTAAATTCCTTAAATTGAGCTACCTTTCCCAATTCTACAACTTGTTCAATAACAAGATCAAGTCTTGCAACTGTCTCAACTAACAAAGATGCAAAGGCTGCAAATGGCAGGGCCTCCAAAAATTCCAAGCTAGTAATGCCATTCTTGCTTAATGTGGGCCTCAAAATCTTTTTATCACCCTCTTTCAACACATGGCTAAGTCCAAGACGAGCAGGATCGTCATTATTTACACTTGGTAAAGAGAGTAAAAAATCTTTACCAGATTTTTGCCTAGTGGCTAATGTTGCTAAGGCTAATAGTATGTTTGTATTACTATTAGTGCTAAGAAAGAGTCTTGGTTGGGATTTTAATACGTCGATGAGGTCTTGTAAGGCTTCATGGACATGGTTAGATGGGATTTCTGGGCAGTATTTACGACGATTTCGTATGCTATCCCCTAGTTCCTTTAGCGTCTTTGTCATTTCTCTGGCAAGTCGATTGCATGGATCTTTGAATAGTACTCGAACTGATTGAGGAGTCTACAAAAATAGTTATCAAGAAACACATTTAATTAAGAAAGTAACAAAAAAATTACATTTAATTTAATCTAGAGATCTAACACGTTAGATATATATAATTTAACATGTATATATAATTTTAATATAGAGGGATCTGGTGTACATAGAGTGTATGCAACATTTTAGGTAGAAAATTTTTTCCAATGTATTTCTAAATCTAGAAAACAATTTATTGCATAAAAAACTCTTTAGATTTCTAGGTAGCTAGATTCTAACTGTTTGTATGTTTAGCCTTCTTCAGAAGCTAGTAGCATCACACATTGCTCTTGTTGACTTAGTGAGCACAAAGATTAGGCATCACATGTAACATGTTGTACTTGTTGACTTAAAGAACACAAAATTTAAACAGATTTCTAAATGTGGCAACTTTTTTGTTGAGGTATTCTCTAGAGCTAAAAGGATATATAATTTTTTAAATTAATAGGTCTATCTGATTTACGAGAATAGTTTTGACTGGTCTTGAATTTTTAACCCTACTTACATCTTATGTGCAAAACACCAAATTGAACAAGTTTTGACTTCTGATCTTGAACGTTTCTCCATAAGGCAAGTAGGGGTCAAACAAGACCACACATTTTCAAGATCATTGGGTACACACGATTTTCTAGCACTAGAAGCCTAAAGAGATGGCGCACCCCCAACCCCACAAAATAATAATAATTAATTACCTTAATTTCAGTTTGCAGGCATCCATGTAGAGCTACTATTGTGTATCCAAAATGGCGAAGAACAGTCCCCAATTTAACATATTGCTGCCAGGAACAACTTCTTAAATATCTTGGCTCCCAGCTTGCATATAGTGCCTAATCCAATTCACATTTGATTTAATTTTCTAATTTGATTAATTCTAATAACTACATTAAATAGTACAAGACTCAGATAATTAATTAATTCTGGATATATAGCTTACCAAAGTTTCATCAGATGATTTGGAATCTAAAACAGCCTTGTAACCTTTGTAAATGGGATCCTCCATTTCCATTGAATAGTTTCTCACTTTTTCCTCTTGCTGATTAATAATACCGTCGCTAAAATACTCGTTAATGCAAACTGCAAGGTTTAATTAGTTGAAAAATCTCATCAATCTTCTATGTTACATGAATATTTAAGTTGATAATTATAGAAAATTTATTGTGTTTGTTCCATCTAATAAATTTTCCCTACCTTCTATTGATTTTGCTAAGCCTTCGAACTTGGCAACAGTCGATAAATGGAGGTCTTCTCCTGACCAAATTGGAAATATAAATAGGCTCATGAGGAGACAGATACCACATCCAATGGCTATGGTGTAAAATCGCTCATGCGCGATCTTCAACACGCTATCAACACGATAGCTTGACACTGTGATCAAGTTGAACGTCAAGAGGAATATCACCACACCATAGTCGTAATTTTTCTTTATGTGAGAGAAAAATCTCATGTATGTAGTCACGGCTCCTGAAGAATAGAAATAAAAATAATGTATCCACTACTTTTATTCAATTGAAAATTAATCATAAAATAAATAAATGATAATTGAATAAGTGAAAGCTTATTACCAACTAGAAAAACTGCGGTCCCAATGAAAGCAGCATGAAATATGTGGCCAGATTCATTGGCAATACGTTCGATCAAGAAAGCCAATAATCCTGCTAATAGTGTCCCTAGTCCTCTATTCAGCCCTTTATATAATGTTGCCCCTATATATCCAAAAAATTACAAAATAAATTACATAAATAAAAAACACTTGTCCATTCATATACTTAAACAACAATATGGAAATTTAAAATATGAGCACTTCAATCTCAAACAAGTTAAAATCGATTTAAAGAATCCTCACCGTCCATATTTTCCTCTTAAATTCAATCCAAGCCATCATCACACGAAACAAAAATAAAAAGTACTTCAATTTCTATCAGATTATCTTTACCTCATGTTGTAGCATGCTACATGTCTAAAGATTTACTTGTAAATATGTTTGACTGACCTGATAGTATAAAAATTCTTTACACTGACGATATAAATTAAAAAACTTCTAGAGAGATCTAGCATAAGATCTAAAGCACATTACCTGTTGTGAATTCAAGAACAACCACCACAGTCATGACAGCCCAAATAGCATTTTCTCCGATGCCTTTGAACAATGGCTCCATTAAATATAACAAGGAGACCAATGACAAGGAGATTCCAACTTTTAGTGAGTGAATAACCCTTCTTTTATCTTCTTTCCCTACTTTCCAAATTTTTCTACATGTTAATCTTCCCAACCTCTTTATTTTCTCCACAACATCACCATTATTCAAGCAGAAAGAATTATTTTTTCCACTCATAACCTCCATTTCATAAAGATGAACCACTAGCTATGCTGCAGGAATTTTGGGAATATCTTGTACCACCCCACCTTTATTTATATATGGAAAGAAGGGTATATGTTACTTTATATAGAAGGTGGATTAACAGGCTTCCTAATAAAGTCAAAAAAAGAGAAGCAAAATGAATTTGGTGGAAAGATAAGTTTACCTACTTAGAGTTAGTTTGGCAGTATCTATTAGAGGAAATAATACATCTAATATGTATTCGTTTTGGTATTATTAATCTCTTATTTGATATGTAATTTGTCAATCTATATATAACTAATTACACCCTTTTTGATATTACCCTATGTATAATTAATAGATAGCATTAGCAATATAAGAGTTTTTACTATAGGCATGGTTAGAGACACAAACACCTTTACAACTCTAGAAGCGGATATTTTTGTAAATAAATATTTATTTTAAAATTATGCACGGCATGTTATTTTTATCAGACTTGACCAAACATTTAATAAGAAATAATGTCGACATAACTAATTTTTGCATTACTAACCTCCTGCCCAATATTACTAATACACTACAATATTCAACACTGTTCTTATACAATATCCTACCAAACGATTGATGTTGGTAAAAGAAACACCAAACTAATAATTAACCTTCATAATGTAATATGAGATCAAATGATTATGAAGAATGAGAGGTCCATTTGGAAGACGTAGGATAGTTGAATTAAGTCAAAAGAAACCAAAACTACTTGGACTAATACGCCAGCTAATCTATAAACCAGCTAATTAAATTATGAAGGTACGTGTCAAAATAAGCAAGTACAGGCGGTGCCTCTGTTGGTAAACCAAACTAATTTGGTGTGTTGCGCTCTAATAATTTCAATGGGTTCAAATTGCAGGGGACACCCCAATTCAAGTTATTTCACGCCATTCATAGGATTCAATGAATAATGAAATTCAATTCTATTATATATAAAATATGATGAATATGTTTTTATAAATATTACTCCTTTCATCACATATTATTTGCCCTTTTCTTTTCAGATCCCTTAAAAAAAATCATAAATGAATAAGATATTCTTACTAAATTTAAGTCTATCCAATTTTAACATTTAAGAAAAACTATCTCACAAATTTTTTAGCGCCACAATATATTACTTTCGTTATATATACGGTACTTGGTTTTTCATTCACCAAAAAAAAAAAAAAAATTGTCTTCACAAACTAAATTTCTGCCAATTTAAAATCAATATTTAGATAAGTTGTTTTAGGAAGAGAAAACATTGTAAAACATAAAAATAGAATTTCAAGCATCTAGATATTAGATAAAAAGTATTGATAGAACGTTTTAAAAAAGGTGGTACTTTTAGCTTTGACGCACTCCTTAAGAAATTGCTCATTTCTACAAAAACATAATTTTACTGACCTATCTTCATAAATAACTTCAAAAATATGTAGCTATTTACAAGTAGTTTATTGCTTGTGTCTTTTAATTTGGGCACCCCCTTAAAATATTGTTCATTCCTATCTCCTAGAAAGCGAAATGTAATTTTACTTGCTTATCATCATAAATACTTGAAAAATATATAATTTTCTAATAGTTTATTGGTTATGTAAACATCTCTTTATACACAGGAAAAAATCCACATCATGATTTTCTAATCCTTCATTAAATTTTCTTAATTTTATGTCATTTTTACGAAAAAAATATTTTTAAAAAGCCGTGAATAATCAAAGTAAAAGTACGAAAAATTAGAAATAGGAAAAAAAAAAAAAAAGACGTGGTCGGCAGGATTCGAACCTGCGCGGGCAAAGCCCACATGATTTCTAGTCATGCCCGATAACCACTCCGGCACGACCACTTGATGATGTTAATTAATGAAGATAATATATTAATGAGTTTACATAAACATGGGCACACGTAATTAGATATATTTCATATAAATCCTAGCGATTTAAATATTATTGAATAAAAAAATTAAATGTATTAAAATGACTTTGCAGGGCGATGTGGCAGCTTACAAGACTTGGGAGTTGGCATGACAGACACGTAGCAGCACTCGTAGAGAGTCCAACCGCCTTTCTGTAGCTAGAAAGCTTCTTTACGCACCGTATTTATAATTTCGCTGCAATGAACATCTTCAATATATATTCAGTTAATGAATTACTAAATTCCAATCAAGTACAAAGAAGAAAATGCACTCAGTAAAGGAGAAAGTAAGCAACGCAGCTGCCGCTGGTAAAGAGCACGTTGATATTCTCAAAGCCAAAGCCGAAGAAAAGGTCACAATAATATATACTCCAACCTACTCTATTATTTACTTGTTTAATAGATCAAATAATTTGTTTAAAATCTACTGAACTTGAATTATATCTAGAAAGTAACTCAAAATTCTGGATCCGATTCCGCGTAAAATATTCGCCGTGTTAATTAATAACAGGCAGAGAAAGCAGTAGCAAGGACAAGGGAAGAGAAAAGAATAGCAGAAGAGGTGAGAAAAGCAAAAGAAGCAGAAGCAAAGATGGAGCTGCATCAAGCGAAAGCACGTCATGCAGCGGAGACGCTGCAATCGAAGCAATCTCATCTTATAGGGCCTCACGGCCACCATCACGGTACTCATACGGTTGGTGTTCATCAAGGCCAGCAAAATCCAGTGGTCGGTAGTACCATTCCAACTACTGGTACCGTTGCTCCAACCTATCCTCTTGGAGGTTACCCTCCTTCGCATGGCCATATCTAAATTGGAGACATATATTTAGCAGCATCCTGTAATAGTTGCTTGTTGATTAGTGTGTAATTTCAGTTGTTTTCTTTGTAATGATTGCTTTTGGAATAAATGGAGGAAGGCCCTTTCGTTTTTTAGCTAGCTATTAGCTCCATTGATAAGAATATGACTTACGGGTGTGTTTGTTAGGAAGAAAATGTTTTCTTGGAAAACAAGTTGATTTTTGATTTATTTTCTCATGTTTGGTTAATGAGTAGAAAATATTTTTCGAAATTTTTTTTTAGTGTTTGATTTATGAATGAAAAATGTTTTTGAATTTTTTTTTTTTTTACTAGAGTAGAAAATAATTGTTGAAATTGAAAATATTTTTTAAAAACAAACTTAACTTTTTTTTGGGGCTGGGGCTGGGCTGGTAGAGGGTGGGTGGGGGGTCGAGGGTAGGGGTGAAAAATTGAAATTTTGAAGTAAAAAATACTTTTTAAAACAAACTTAAAACTTTTTTGGGGGTGGGGGGCTGGTAGGAGGTGGGTGGGGGGTGGGGGGCTGGTAGGGCGTGGATGGGGGGTCGAGGGTAGGGGTGAAAAATTGAAATTAAAGTTAAAAATATTTTTTAAAAACAAACTTAATTTTTTTTTGGGGGTGGGGGTGCTGGTAGGGCGGAGGGGGTCGAGGGTAGGGGTGAAAAAAATGAAATTTTGATGTCGAAAATATTTTTTAAAAACAAACTTAATTTTTTTTTTTGGGGGGCTGGTACGGGGTGGGTGGGTGCGTGGGGGTGGGGGATCGAGGGTGGGGTGAAAAAAATGAAATTTTGAAGTCGAAAATATTTTTCTAAAAACAAACTTAAAATTTTTTTGGGGAGTGGGGGGCTGGTAGGGTGGGAGGGTCGAGGGTAGGGGTGAAAAAAATGAAATTTTGAAGTCGAAAATATTTTTTGAAAACAAACTTAAATTTTTTTTTGGGGAGTAGGGGGGCTGATGGGGTGGGTGGAGGCTGGGTAGAGGGTCGAGGTTAAGGGTGAAAAAATAAATAAAAAAATTAAAAAAATAAACTTAAATTTTTTTTTTTGAAGGGGGTGGGATAGGGGGCTGGGGGGCGAGGGTAGGAGGTGGTGGTGTAAAAAAATAAAAAATTGAAATTAGAAATATCTTTTAAAAACAACTTTTAATATTTTTTTGGGAGGGGTGGTGGTAGGGGGTAGGGGTAGGGGTGAGGGTGGGGTAAAAATATTGAATTTAAAAACAAACTTTAAATTATTTTTTTTGGGGGTGGTTGGAGGCGCTGGTTTGAGGATAGAGACCAAATAAATTGATTTTTTCAACACTTTTTTTTTTTAATTGAAAGTTGGAAGAGAGTTTTGGAAAATGTTTTCCTTAAGTTTTGAAGGGAAGTCATTTTCCTTAAATTTGAGGAAAATGAGTTGATTTGGAAAATATTTTCCAAAACATTTAACCCAACCAAACATGAGAAAATTGGTTAGGGAATTTTCTAACCAATTTCCCTTGCACATGTTAGGGAATTTTTTTTTTACTATAATGAAATCAGTTGTGACCCTCGTCTAGTCAGGACCGTCTCAATAAAATTTGGAATATTATTGAGAGAGTTAAAAAAGAAAGTTAGTTAGAAGTACCTTCAAGAAGTTAGTTAGAAGGACTTTCAAGAAGTTAGTTACAAAAGGTTAAGTAAGTTAGTTAGTCAATAACAAGTTGTATAAATACAGGTCATTAGGCGTTGTGAATGTCATTCAATAATAATCAAGATCTTCATCTTCTTAAATCATTTTGCCTTCTATTTTGTATAACTTCATGGTATCAGAGTTGGTGATAAAAGTCTAAAGAAGTCATCTGTGTATTACGTCTGATCATAATATGAAGAATTTTGTTTCATCTGGAGAATTCTGTTCGTCATGAAGATCAGAATCTGGAGAATTTTGTTTCATCTAGAGAATTATGTTTGTCTTGATAAGTCTGTTTAGCTTCTGGAAATCAATCTAAAGAAGAAGAAAGATTACAAACATGACTCAAGGGGTAACTGGTGGACAGACAACTGGAACAGTAGTGTTGGTGGAATTTCTGGAAATCCAAGATCCATTCCAGCTATGTCGATGAGTCAAGGGGTTGATTATAATCATCCTCTGTTCTTGAGTCTTGCTGATATCAGCAGCGTGAATCTGATCTCATTCCAACTTATAGGTATCAAGAAATATACCTTGTGGAGTAGGTAAATTAGGTTGGCATTACTTGGAAGAAACAAAATTGGTTTGGTAGATGGATCTTGTAAACAAGATGATGTGAGTGCAGAACTAAGAGGTCAGTGGGGGAGGGTTAATGCCATCGTTCTCTCATGGCTTCTAAATTCAGTGTCTAAAAGTTTGTTAGGAGGAGTCGCATTTGCATCATCAGCTTAGAGTGTGTGGAATGACTTAAAAGAAAGATTTGATCATTTAGATGGATCAAGAACCTTCAGTCTACACAAAGAAATAGCAATATTACAATAGGGCACTGATTCTGTGTCAGCATATTTTACAAAGCTTAAAACCCTGTGGGATGAATTTGAGGCCTTGGTGCCACCTCCTGGATGTAATTGTGAAAAAGCAAGAGGGTTTGTGGATCATCTAAATAGACAAAAGTTGTATCAGTTTTTGATGGGACTGAATGAGTCGTTTGGACAGGCTAGAAGTCAGATCTTGTTGATGAGTCCCATTCTTCCAGTGAATCAAGCATATGCTATGATAGTAAGTGATGAATGTCAAAAGATGACATCTAGTAGGTTGAGTACATGGTTAAGTTTTATAAGTGGTTCTGGAGTGGATCCTCTGGCAATGTATTCAAGAACTGGAGGAGGTCCTAGTGCACAAGGGTTTAACAAATTCAAGAAGAATTTTTTAGTTGTGTGTGACTTTTGCAGATGCAAGGGACACACTAAGCATCAATGTTATAAGCTCAAGTCTAAAAGAAAAGTGAGTAATAGTACATGAAATGAAGCGTATATGGTTGGAAATGAATTTAACAACACAAGAAAGGGTGGTTATGAGAATGTGTCTGATGAAGTATCTTTCAACTATGGAAATAATACTATTGTGCCTGTGAAGAACCATATGAGCAACATAGAGGAATGTTCAAATCAGTTGCAAGGGTGCAATTTCACTAAAGATCTGTATCATCAAATTCTGCAAATGCTAAAGCAGAATCAAGGATGTGGGTAAAAAACAGAAGATATAACTCATGCTCATGAAACTCAGGTCAATACTGCAGGTAAAGCCTTGTTGGTTTCTAAAAATAACCAGGTCGGGATCATAGATACATGAGCATCTAATCATATGGTGTCAAATATAAATATGCTTACTGATGAGTCTATTGTTAAGATCAAAGAGCCAAAACCTGTATACTTACCAACTGGAGAAGTATCATATGTGTCTCATACATGGTTATGTCACATATCTTCAAGAAGTGTGATTACAAATGTGTATCACATACCAGAATTTAAATACAATTCACTATCAGTATGTAAGGTAACCAAGGAGTTGAATTGTTCAGTTACTTTCTACCCATATTTTTGTGTGTTTCAGGAGCTTTGCACTGGCAAGGTGAGGGAAGTTGGTAAAGAAGATGATGGCTTATACTTGCTACTAAGGAACTTGACACAAGATCAGTTAAAGCACAAGTCATTTACTGTACCTGTTAAAAGCTAGAGATACAAAATTATAGCAAAAGAAGTGAATGTATGGCACAAGAGGCTAGGACATGGAGCAACACATATTTTGAGTAAAGTTTTTCCTGTTAATTCAGGAGTAGTGAATAAAGTGCTAAGTGAGTGTACAGTCTGTCCTTGTGCAAAACAAACCAGGAATGTGTTTCCAATTAGTAGTATTAAAAGTAGTCAAATTTTTGATTTGATTCATTTGGATGTGTGGGGTCCATACAAACAAACAACTTTTGATGGTAACAAGTTCTTTCTTACAGTTGTTGATGATTTCTCATGGATGACTTGGTTATTTTTGTTAAAAAGTAAAGCAGATGTGTGTGTAGCCTTAGATTATTTTCTGAGATTTGTTAAGACACAATTTGATAAAATGGTAAGGATGGTAAGGTCTGACAATGGAACTGAATTTATGAACTCTGTGTGTGCTACTTTGTTTAAGGAAAGAGGTATAGTTTATCAGAGATCATGTCCACAACAAAATGGAGTTGCTGAAAGGAAGCATAGGCATCTCTTAGAGGTAACTAGGGCTCTAAGGTTTCAGGGTCAAATTCCTTTAACTTATTGGGTCAGTGTGTTCTTGCAGCTGCTTACTTGATAAATAGGATACCTAGCAGAGTTCTGAGAGGTAAATCTCCATATGAAAGGATGTATGGGAGTAAGCCTATGCTATCTCATCTAAGAGTATTAAGTTGTTTGTGCTATGCTAAGGTGTTAACTGAGAGTGATAAAGTAGCATCCAGAACAAAGGCTGCAGTACATATGGGTTACTCAGAAACACAGAAAGGTTATATCTTGTTAGATTTGACATCCAGTAGTATTTTTGTGAGTAGAGATGTTATATTCAGAGAGTCAATCTTTCCTTTCATAACTTTTGTAGATGAAAGGAGATAAGATCCATTTGTTAATAACTTAGATAGTGACATGCTGAACACAAGATGGAAGTCTGTAAATGATGAAATGATTGACAAAGAAAGGGTTGATCATAGGTGTTTACAAGAAGTTCAATGTGATAAAGAAGTAAACATCAATTTGACTGATAATAGTGAACAAGATACAGTGGAAGAGACAGTTCAAGGTCATGGTTCTGTACCTCAAGATTCTCAACCAGTGGTGAATAGAAGATCTACAAGAGGAGTTCATCCACCAGTTTGGATGAAAGATTTTGTGTCTCTAAATATGAGTACACAAGTGAAGTATCCTATAGATGAGTGTGTTGCATACAATCACTTGTCTAAACATTATCAAAACTTCGTTGCTGCAACTTCTGTGCTAACAGAACCTACTTCCTTTGCTGAGGCCAATAAAGATCCCAAGTGGATTGAAGCAATGCAAGTTGAAATCCAGGCATTACAGGACAACAACACTTGGAAACTAGTGGAGTTGCCTAAATGGAAGATTGCTATTGGATGTAGGTGGATTTATAAGATTAAATACAAGTCTACTGAAGAAGTAGAAAGGTTTAAAACAAGGTTTGTAGCCAAGGGCTACAGCCAAAAGGAGGGTATAAATTATAAAGAAACATTTTCCCCTGGGGTGAAAATGGTCACAGTAAGAACCATATTATCCTTAGCTGTGTCAAAGGGGTGGCATATATATCAAATGAATGTATACAATGCATTTCTAAATGGGATTTAGAGGATGAAATATATATGTCTATGCCTCAAGGGTTTTCCAGTCAAGGGGAGAATAAGAACAAGGTATGCAGGCTGGAAAAGTCATTGTATGGGCTTAAACAAGCACCAAGACAATGGAACCAAAAGTTTGCAGAAGTTCTACTCAAGCTGTGTTTCAGTCAGAGTCAACATGATCACTCTTTATTTACAAGAAGGACCACCGAAGGAACTACAATAATTTTGGTGTATGTTGATGATGTCTTAGTAACAGGAAGTAGCTTGAAGCTAGTGGAGGAAACAAAAAGGTCCTTACAACAAAGTTTTAAGATGAAGGATCTAGCAGAGTTGAATTCTTTCTTAGAATAGAGTTTGTACGGTCAAACAGTGGAGTTGTCATGCATCAAAGAAAGTATGTACTTCAACTTATTTCCGAAGTTGGTTTATCAGGAGCAAAGATTGCTGGAACACCTATGGATGTAAATGTAAAGTTAACTTTAAAATAATATGATGATCAAACTGGACAAAATCAGGAGGAACCTCTAACAGATCAAAGTGCCTATAAAATACTGATTGGGAAGCTGCTATATTTAAATATGACAAGACCTGACATTTCTTTTAGTGTTTAAAACTTGAGCCAGTTCCTACATCAACCAAAGAAATCTCATATGGATGCAACCCTTAGAGTAGTTAAATACATTAAAAGGTAGCCAGGACAAGGTATATTACTATCTAGTAAGTGTAGTAATGAAATTACAGCTTATTGTGATGCAGATTGGGCAGCCTGCCCTATTACAAGGAAGTCTCTGTTACAGGCTATGTGATTAAACTTGGAGAGTATGTGGTCTCTTGGAAAGCTAAGAAGCAAACCATTGTGTCAAGGAGCTCAGCATAAGCTGAGTACATGAGCTTAGTTTCTACTGTAGCAGAGTTAGTTTGGTTGGTTGGAATGTTGAAAGAGTTAAAGACTGAAGTTCAGTTACCAGTTCAAGTATATAGTAACAACAAGTCTGCTATTCAATTGGCTTCTAACCCAGTCTATCATGAACGTACTAAACACATTGAGATTGATTGTCATTTCATCAGGGAAAAACTTCAACAAGGACTGATCAATTGATTACTTGTGTGTCAACACAAAATCAGCCAGCTGATATGCTAACCAAAGGCCTCAACAAGCCTCAACATGCCTATCTACTATCCAAGCTAGGGGTCTTAGACATATTTGTACCATCTAGCTTGAAGGGGAGTATTGCGAGAGTTAAAAAAGAAAGTTAGTTAGAAGTACCTTCAAGAAGTTAGTTAGAAGGACTTTCAAGAAGTTAGTTACAAAAGGTTAGGTAAGTTAGTTAGTCAAAAACAAGTTGTATAAATACAGGTCATTAGGCGTTGTAAATGTCATTCAATAATAATCAAGATCTTCATCTTCTTAAATCAGTTTGCCTTCTATTTTGTATAACTTCAAATATTAAAGCTTTTGAAGCTTTAATTTTTTTAGTTTATATATACTCTATAAAATTGAATAAAAAATATTAACATATTTAATATAATTTTATAAGTTCGGTTTATTTATCAAGGTTAGGATATATGTAATTTTTATGGTGGACTTTAGGGAGAATGGAGAAAAACTTATTATGAATCTTCTGAAGTAAAAAATTAATATGAATCTTATGAAGTAAGAAGGTTAATATAAATTTATAATTAATATAATATAAAATTTAAATATTAGAAAGTTAACTTTAATAACCTCCACCTTTGTTTTTGGCTTCGAGATATCCCTATTCCCCTTTTCCACCTTTTGATCTTAGATGTACTGTTAACCCTATTTTAAAATATACATTTTTATTAATTTAAATTCTTAATATTTCTTATCCCAAAATTTAAATCTATAAAAAAAAAATGTAAAAAAATTGTGTAAACAATAAAAATCATAAAAACATAGTAAAATTATTATTCTTCATTTTGCACAATAAACTCTTTATTTTATTTTACATTTTATACACTATTATTTTATATTTAATTTATGGAATGATTTTTAAAACCGTCATTGGGAGAATAGGACATTCCATGTGTACACGATTTGGCACCAGAATTTGGGAGGGTATGAAACGTAAAATATAATGAAGTATTATTCTACTTTATATGTTATTATTATATAATATAAATAAACTTGCAACTTGGCCAAAATTATTATTGTATGTTATTTATTAAAAAGTGAATTTAAAAAATATCAAATATTAATATAATTAAATTTTAACATGATAAATTGAATATAATTTAGAAATAAATTCAAATAAATTAAAAAATCATTCAATAAATTAAAACATAAAATAATAGTGTATTAAACGTAAAATAAAACAAGAATTTATTGCGTAAAAATAAAGAATAAAAAATTTAGTGTGTTATTTTAATAATAAGAAGAAGAATTTTGAGGATTTTATGATTTTAGTTTTACACAATATTTACTTATTTATTTTATAGATTTAAATATTTTGGGATAAGCAAATATTAAGAATTTAAATTAATAAAAAAAAAATTAAAGTTGGGGTTGAGAGTATATCTAAATCAAAAGGGGGAAGGAGGGATATCTTTAAATAAAAAATAAAGGTGGAGGATATTTTTTTTACCAATATGAGGGTATTATTAAATCAATTCTCATAGACTAGATGTATTCTTTTCCCTTAAATAAATATATTTATTTTTTTAA